CTGTGTTCTGTTTTTCCAAAAACACCCCTAATTTTAATTTTTGTGTAGTAACAGAAGCATTTTAGTCCCACATATTTTGGCCAATTTTCCTCCATGGGTAAGTCATTTGTTCAAAGTAACCCAAAAATTTATTGAAGGAAATGTACATGTCCCAACGAAAGAACATGTGACCCTCCCCTCCCCTGCATAATACTATGTAGGAAGATGAGATGTTCTCCATGTGTGGCTGCAATGTTATGTGGGTAGATGAGGGCAAAAGATCCAGACCCTTGATAAAGAGTTCCAAGTCGGAAAATGGGTTTATCTCAAATTCCAACCATATCAACAAATGTCAATGGCATTGGAAAGAGATGCTGAATTCGCCCCTCAATACTATGGGCCTTTCCAAATTATCCAACGAGTAAGTCCTATAGCCTATAAGTTATCTCTACCCACTAATGCTCATATACACCATGTGTTCCATGTCCTCGATGCCAGTATGATCAAGCTTTGGTTCCCTAACTTTGACATTGGGGACAAGGTCGATCGAAGGGGGAAAGAATGACTTATAACTTTTAAATTGTTATCCAAATTCTAACATAGATGAGTAAAAAAAAAAAATCAAAAAGTATAGAAATAAAAATGAAATCATTCAAAGGAATCTAAGAATAGCACCAATAGGTGATAAAACGAGAGAAAGTACTAGGATGGTTTTGTCACATAAATAAACGATGATCAACATCATCAGGATGGAGTGATCAATTGGAAGCTCAAGGGGATATCTCTAAATCAATAGGCACACCCTTATGAGCACATTCAATAAGCACACAAATAAACATTCGGACACCTGTCTTAGAATTTTTATTAAATAATTTTAAGGGTAGGCTGAGGATATTTTATGGGACAGGTGCATCTTGGGTGCCTACCCGATCCGAACTTGTTGAAGGGTTTAAAGGGTAAAATACTTATACCTCCCCTGACGTTTCTGATAAAATCTGCTCACTGACCCCTTCCATTAATTGCATGCTAAAAACTTAACAGAAATATAAATTTATTGTTCTATTTTTTTAAATGCCCAAATTACCCATAAATCATGCATGGGTAAAATACTTATACCTCCCCTAATAACGTTTCTGATAAGTACTTAAACCTCCCCTCCCCTCACCTTTAAATTTTGCAAAGACCTATCCTGTTGGTTCAAATTTTCAAGTAACAAAATACTAAATGAGTAAAAAGATACGTTATGTTGTTCTTATTCTTGGAAGTGTGATTGTGACCTTAGCTGAGGGTAGTACAAATTTAGAATACTTTGTTCCCGTGGGACCTGCAATTTGACAACAATGCATTCAGAACCAATTTAATGTGCAACTAACAAAAGGGATAGTAAGCAGATTTTACACCAAAGGTCATGGGAGGTCTTTGCAATGTTTAAAGGTGAGGGGAGGTTTAATTAAAGGTGAGGGAAGGTAGAAATATTTTACCCAATAATGATTCATGGGTAATCTGTGCATTTTAAAAAATTTAGAGAAATAGATTTATATTACTGTTAAGTTTCTAACGTACAACTAACAGGGTCGGTAAGCAGATTTTATGTCAAAGGTCAAGGGAGGTTTTTACAACATTTAAAGGTGAGCGGTGGTTTAAGTATTTATCAGCAAGGTTCAATGTATGGAAATGTAATTTTAAGAGATGTATTGAGATACATTTTGTAAACGTATAGATATAGACGAAAAATAAAGATATGCATGGATACATTAGAAAATCCAAAAAAAAAAATCTTTAAAAATATGAACAATAATAAAAATGAGCTTTATATGAGTATAACTAATTTATTTAAGCATAAAAACCATTCTTTAATGATTTATATAAAGTATCAAGATATAATTAGTAACCACTAAAAAATAATAGAAGAACTAAAATGTGTGTGTATATATACTAATATTTATTAGTTAATATTTTTTGAAATCATTTATTAGTTAATATTTATTATATATAGATTTAGATAATATTTATTATGTATTAAAGTTGATATATACCTTAATTTTTAATAAATAAATATAAATTTGTATTCATCTTATTATTATATAAATATTAATAATCAAACTTATAGCATCTGTTGGGAAACATCCACCAAAGCAAGAAATATTACTTTAAGTATAAAAAAATATGTCATTTTAACAAGTAATTAAGGTTGGGATAACGGTTAATTAATTATTGTTATAAGCAAATGACTTGGGTTTGAAACTTGTTACCTTTGGTTTGTGGTTTTTAGCAAGATATTTCACTTAAATAACATTTAATGACATTAAATGCTGTAATTATAGGTAACTTAAATGAGTATTTAATTAAATTATATTAGCATTTGTGATGTCTCAAACTTTAAGGCTTAATTAAAATTGATATTAATGAGAGAGAAGAGATAAATTAAATTTAAATTTAAATTTAAAAAGAAGAGGGAAATTAAATTTGGTTGATATATAATGCATATCGGCCCGTTTCGGGTATGTATCAGCATGTTTCGAGTTGTATTGGCCAATACATACCGAAATGGTCCAATACAAGGCCAATATGGAACCATATTGATCCAATACAGACGAAAAAATATGAAACCATATAATTATATATGTTCCGTATATCAAAATTCTTCTGAAACGCAATACACTGCGAAATTTAAAACCTTGCTTATCATAAACATGAGGGGAGGTATAACTATTTTACCCGGATTTAAAAGGGAGGATAGACCAAAAAGGACATGAGTGGTAAGAAATGATTTAAACAATTATAATTTAACAATGGATATGACCTAATATAGTTGGGATAAGACTTTGAATGATGATGATGATGGCACTAAGTAATGACCTCTATTAATTTATATAATTTTAATGTCTTTAATGATGGAAATACTTTTTTATATGGAGGACAATTTTAATAAAATCTACAATAATTTTATAATACATTTTATAACTAGAATCCTAAAGGAGTACTAAAGGAGTACTAAAGTTTTTTATTTTTATTTTTATGCGATCTTGAGTCTTCTAGGATTTATTTGGAGAGGTTGTAAATTTGTGAATTTGCCTCTCTCTCTCTTTCTCCTTTTTGCAAAAAGGAGTACTAAAGGATAATTGAGGAAGGATCTAGGAAGCTTCCCCATTCTGTATTCTGTGGAGGGTACTAAACAATTGATTCTATGTGGAGAGGGGTACTAATCAATTGATTCGCTGGGCTATCAGAGATTATTTATTCACAGAATAAATCTGGATCACCTGAAAATCTCAGGGCTCAAAAGCATTCCGCGTGGTTCTGTTTGCAGTCACCATCTATTGGGTTGGGTGGTGTAACCCTAAGAATTGGTGGGTTACAGGATTTCTTACCTTCAACCCACTCTGCTCAAACCTTGGTTTTGTTGTTGACCTTTTCTGCCAAATAGAACATGAATAATCTCAGAAAGGAATTTCATTCAAGGAATCCCTCAATTTAATTCCTCATCATAGCCATAGCCATGGACAACCATCTCTAGTCATTCCATTAACAACAGTTCGTTCAATCACTCAATTGAAGGAGACGAAGGAATAAGAATCGGTTGTCTAAATCAAGTAAGGAGGCCTCTAAAACAAGCAACCCATCTCTTTCACTCAGGTATCAACAGAAAGTAGCCTACCAGTAGAGATTATAGAAATAATGGAAAGTGGAAGCAAACCTTAGAAATACTTTTCTACAAGATTCAAGGGGCAGAGGTGTCCAAGCTCTCTGGCGGGTCCCATCAGTTATTCTGATCAGACGGTTGCAAACTTGCAATAGAAGGTTTATGACTTGTTGATCATCAATTAATTGCAGGCTATGTTTGATTTGAATTAAAAGGTAGGGAAATCCATACAAGGTTTGTAAAAAATTTTTCTACCTTTCTTTTCCTTTTCCTACTTTTTCCTTTAAACCAAACACAACCTTAGTTGATGGTTGCCGACCTACCAAAAAGAATATATGATTGATGATAATGTTCATTTTTTTTGGTGTACCTCTAAGTTGTACGAAATTGGTTTACTTTATCCCTAGGGTTTAAAAATTACTTTAAAGTATTCCATTTTTTTTCTTTTGATAATTGACTAAATCCCCCCACCATTAGTGTGTATTAAGTGTACCATCTCATAATCCGTTCACATGTGACACAACCCTTTTTTGTCAATTTTGACCTTCATTATTTTCCAAATTTTCAAAATAAAATTCAACAGATCCAAATTTTCAAAACACCTTTACTGTTGCAAACTGGGAACGGCATTAATAGATCATCCCAAAGCTTGGTTTGAGCATTTGTTGATACCTCCTCAATGTCTTTTTCTGATTTTTGTTTTTCTTGGTTTGAGCATTTGTGGGCTTTGTTTACAAGTTCTAACTGCATTTCTGGTTTCAAACGCTATTTGATGTTTATCATTCAGCACATTGCTGACGGTAAAACCATAAAACTAAATAATAAACATTGGAAGGATGATAGTCGCCTGCCAGGGCATGGGGCAAGAGGGTTTATCCAAATGCTTTATTTTGAGAATTTAAGGAAAAATGGTGGATAAAATAGTCATTTTCAACTTTTTATTAACAGATGCTAATGGGCAAAAAGCTTGCGAATACTTTAGGTTGCGTTTGGAAATGATGTAAAATGCCATCATTGTAAATATTTATGCCAGTTTGACTCTGTAAGCATTTGGAAGAAGTGTATAATTATGATCGACCTAAAACCCTACTCTTGTTCAGTTTTGCATATATTTGGATAGAACAGAGTTTTAGATAGTAAATCAATGTAAAAATTCATGAAAGGAGATATGTAAAACTCCTATATTCTCATGCGCATTTTTCGAAATTCAAATAATTATTTTTTAATGGTTCAATGTAAAGAATCATAAGTGTACTTTATATTCATTCCAAACGCAACCTAATTAAGACAATTTCTAAACAGTAACCATAGCCTAAAAATTAGGGGATACTTATAAGAGATTAGCAGGAAGAAGTATATAAGTGGTTGGGAATGGTAAAGCCTGAGAGAGTCCCAACCTCACGCTACTTGCGAGGATATAGAGTAGTGAAGGAGCGCGTTTGTTACAGCTAGGTTTACAACTCTTTTACTCAATCAATCGCCGTGACTGAGAGAGTTACAAAATCTCTCTGCATTATTTCCGGTAGGTTGTTACGTTCCGTTTGGATACCTATTACCTTTAACAGTATCTCTAGTCCGACACGTCAATTTCCCACTCAGACATTGTTTGTGAGGTAATTAATTGATTCAATCTCCTTTCCCTTTTGATAAACATACTGTTGGGCGAACACAGTAGTTTATGCAATGGCAGGTGTCCCCACCGTCTCTTCTGGCTATACATCGGGCCTTCTGCACCGGACTCCGGCGGAAGACACAGAGATGGAGTCAGCCAACCAGTCGTGGAGACTCAATTTAGAAGAGTTTCAATTGCCGGAGCAACAACACCAAGAGGACCCTCGACCTGGTTTCTCAGACCTTTTGAGGTGTCTAAGTAAGTTGTCATTGGTTCCGGCTGCATGAGAGGCTTCTGTTGGCCTGGGTTAGACCCATTGATCAATGGTGATTGATTGTGATCCGATTGTTCTGTTTTCTTTTTATTTCAGGAAAACAAGGAAAAGTTGCCAAGTATTACAGGAGGCAAGAGAAGCTACTCAAGGGATTCAATGAAATGGAAGCTGTTACTGAATATGGTTCTTTGCCTGGTCATCTAACAGAGGTTAGTTAGTTTTGGGTTTGAACAAAACTGGGGATCGGTTTAACCATTTTCATTAATTCTGTAACTGAATAATATTGGTCTCAGGATGAGCAGCAGCAGCTGGCGAGGAGCGAGAGGATGGCTGTTCATGCATCAAATATAGCTAATATTGTTCTGTTCATGGCAAAAGTTTATGCTTCAGTGGAGAGCAGATCTTTAGCAGTGATTGCATCGACCTTGGACTCATTCATGGATCTCTTATCTGGTTTCATTCTCTGGTTCACCGACCACGCCATGAGAAAACCCAATCACTATCGTTATCCAATTGGCAAACAGAGGATGCAACCTTTGGTGAGTCTTCCATCCTTTCTTCTTTGTCCTTCAAAATTAATGAACTGCATACTCTGATATGGCAGAATTGAGGTCCCGTTTGGTTTGCGGGAATTGGGATCTGAAAGGCCATTTTGATTTCAACTGTTTGGTTAGACGCAATCGTAATCCATTCAATTTCTATTCCCGGTGGAATAGCATTTCCCCATTTTAGAAAATGGCATTCTTTCCCCTCGATTCTAAGGAAATCCCATTTTACATGATTCTAATTCCCATTTCGATTTTTCCAAAGGATTTCGATTCCTACAGTGAATTAAACGGGAGCCTAAATATTACTGTTACAAGGGACCTTCGTAGAAGGAACCTACAAAGTACACAGTTGAACCATTTCGATACAGCCTATCTCTCTTAAGTCATAACTAATAACAAACAAACAAATTAAAGAAGGGCTATTGAATGGAGGGCCTGTCCCTGGTAGAAGAGTACTATGAAGTTAAATAATTTTCTTCTGCTTAATTAGGGGTATCGGGTTAGGCCGGGTTGAGGTCAACCCAAATTCACCCAAGCTGTTGAACCCGGCCCCAACCTGAAATTTTTGGGTTGGCCCAACTTCTTTACTTCCTCTTTTAACACATTTTCTTATTTCCTCAAGTATTGAGGTCAATTCAGTTTCAGTATTATTGCAGATAAAAGGACACAGTCATCATCATGGTTTAAAAAAAATTTGCCCAACTTCAAATCATCATGGTTTAATACACACATACACACAAGCATACAAACATATATGCATTTATGAATATATAGTTGTATATATATACATACATAATGCATGTATATAAATGCATAGATGCATATATAAAGATCAAAATTTCGTAATGTACGGCCCATATCCTATCGGTTGATATGACTGGCATTTGATGTAAGATTTGGGGGTATATTGACCCCATGAACAGCTTTAGAAAAATGTTCAAAAACATGGCAAAAAAATAAGCACCCCATTCCTCTAATCTCTATCAATATTTAAAACCTTATACATTCATACATAAATACAGTTAAATTAGGTGGGGATTGGAGATTGGGCATGCTTCAATCCCACCATTCGGGTTAACCCAGCCCAGAGTGGCAGACTTGCAGGGTTGCAGCTTTATTTCTGCTAAAGTAATGGAAGCTAGCTGCCTAATGATCCAGATTAAATTTGTAGGGCATCATAGTTTTTGCTTCAGTGATGGCAGCCTTGGGACTACAAGTATTGTTAGAATCTTCTCGGGAACTGATAGCACAGGTACGTGAATCCATGCACTGTTTCCAACTATCTGAACATTTTCGAAAAGAAAAACAAGAAATAATTGTAAATCACCATTGATCAATCTCTGCAGTCTCGCCCAGAATTGAACAGAGAGAAGGAAATATGGTTGATCGCAATCATGACCTCAGTCACAGCAGTAAAATTTGTACTGATGATATATTGTCGACAATTTAAGAATGAAATCGTTAGAGCCTATGCTCAAGATCATTTCTTTGATGTGGTTACTAACTCAATCGGTCTAGTAACAGCTGAGCTTGCTTATCGATTCTTGTGGTGGATTGATCCAACTGGGGCCATATTAGTAAGTCCATTACATCAAAGTTAACTATTTCTCTCTCCCTCTATCTCTGTACCAAGTTACTAACTGTTGTTGAATTTGCTAAGTTGAATTATTGATGTAATGTGATACAGATAGCTGTATATACAATCAGTAATTGGTCGAAGACAGTTGTTGAGAATGTGAGATCGTTGATTGGAAGAAGTGCTCCTCCTGATTACTTAACAAAGCTGACATATCTCATCTGGAATCATCATGAAGAGATCAAGCACATTGATACAGTAAGAGCCTATACCTTTGGTGCCAATTACTTTGTGGAGGTGGACATAGTCCTACCTGGGAATATGCTTCTCAGTCAAGCCCATAACATTGGAGAAACGCTACAAGAGAAGCTGGAGCAGCTCCCTGATGTCGATAGAGCTTTTGTCCATATAGATTATGAGTTCACTCACAAGCCAGAGCATAATAACAAGCTCTACTGATATTAAAAGTTTGTTGTCTTTTGATAGATAAACAGCCCTTATATACGGTTGTTTTTTTTTTTTTTTGAAAAGTATCAAGGAAGGATTATTTTCCCAAGGAAATGGCATTGAACTTGACGTGAAGCCACTTGCTAAGAAAGTTTCGGTTTCTCTAATTAGAAGGTGTAGCCTGGAGCCGAAAGGACTCCTCTTTTTTTACACATATTGCTCATTAAGGAAGTTTTGAGGCAGAGGGAGAAATCTTTATTGATTGTTGTCCTTCAGTTTTTCTGCCAACATCTCTTGATGACTTGGGGGTGTAATTTGGGCAGGCCCAACCCAACCCTGGACCGATCTTGCCAAAAAATTTACATGAGTGTGCTTGGATTTTTGGTTTTTGGGCTGGGTCTTTGCCCCAAGTTACTTTCAAGTACAATCTATTCTTATACCTTATCATTAAATCGTATCATTTGTGGAATTTTTTTCTTAATTCAAATGCCCCTACTTTTGAATTTGATCCCTCTATAACTGGAATGTAGAAAACATAATTTGAACCATTACTTTTCACTTCATTCAATTTACTCTCATTTTAAAGTGTTAACTCTTACAACAAGTGCAAACACAAATCCCAAGATTGAAATATACCTTTTTAATATTAATCAGCTTTGAGCGTAAATTAAACTTTGCTCCCATTTTGGATGTAAACATGCCTTGAAATTTGTCAAAGTTATCACTTTCAGAACATAAATGCATTTTTACCAGCAGAAATAAACTAGAGTGCATATATGCACTAAACCTGAATTTGCACTCTTACCAAATGGAGCCTTAAATCCTACTTTTGAGGTATTTATGTTTCTTATTGATATGCTTTACTAATTTTTTTTCTAAAATAATTTTTTTAATTAAATACATCTACTAATTTTAACAATGCATAACTTAATTCTGATGTAGGGTGATTTGGACAGACCTCGTAGCACGGGGACACGTGGGCATGACCTGGCATAAGTGACAACTCAACGCGACAGCCTGGCCACAACTCGGTGTAACAAGCTCGCCGAGGCCCGACCAAACGACCGGCGGGTGTGACAACTCGCCAAGAAGCAAGGCCCCGCTCGCCCCAAGCCAGAGGGTGGAGCGCCCCGAGCTCCCCCCGTGCAAAGGGACCCGAGCTCCCCTTAAGATCCGAGCTCCTCCTAAGGGGCTTCGAGCTCTCCCTTCCTAAGAAGGGAGCACCCCAACTTTTGGCTAAGTGTCCCGAGGGAGAAACACCTCGGGACAGCACCGTCGAGACTCCTGTTCGTACTTGCTTAAGGCTCACCTCCAATGCAAGCACCTCGTCGTACCTCGGCACCTCGGTGCAAGGCAAACCATCCCCAGGCGGTTCGATGCAAAGTAGCTCGGCAGCCTACAGGGGAGATCCGCCTGACATCCATACCTGTCGGATCCAGTGGCAGTGCCCGCATCCCTTGCCAGGCGGCGTTGTACTTGCCGTCTCTAAAAATCATGGCACGCCTGACGAATCCGAACCCTACAGCAACAGCCTGCACCTGCCACCTCAGCCTTGGCAGTAACAGCTAGGGCAGTGGCGGCTACGCCTGATGTGACTGAGCTCCGATATAAGAGGACCCCGACCCTCACGAAGAAAAGGTATTGAAGCTAGCACTTTCAGCACTCTTAACTCTTTGTGTTTTCCTCAGAGTTCTAACTTAGCCATTGGAGTGTTCCCGCCAGGAGAGCTCCCCAGAATCCTTCACGTTCCTCTTCATCTCAGGTGTCACAGCTAGGAGCCAAGTTTCAGCCAACTAGGAGTGCCTAGATCGTGCTGCATCAAATACCACCGTGAAAATGAAACCATTCTTCTACCAAAGTAGTGGCTTGGTGGGTAAGTAGTTCAACAATCTGGGCCAAAATGAGTCAACCCATGATATCATAATTAAATAATGAAAATTTTAAAAAGAATAGAAACATAAAAGTTATAAGAAAATACAAAAACATTTTAAAAAACATTTGGGTATGTCTCTCATATTATGTATTCATCATATTATACAAAAAAGAAGTGTGTTGAATAAGAATTAGAATTCTTTTAATTAATGATGGAAATTTAATAAAAAATTAAAACTAACTCAAAAAAATATTTTCCATCTAAGTGGTGATTAGTGGTCCAACCATTTAGGTAGAATAGGTTAACTAATGATGTCATAATTAAATAATAAAACTAAAAATTATAAATAAATACAAAAAAATCGCAAAAGAGCACAAAAAATTTATAAAAAAAATAACACATCACAAATATAGTCCCTTTACATTAATAAACAAATATAATCATGAAAAATAAAATTATATTTATAATTATTTATGGAAATGGAATAGAATTCAGAACCGCCCAAAAGCAAAATCATTTTTTTTTCTTTGAATCAAATGAGTCAACCAATGATGTCATAATTATATAACAAAAGCTCAAAATAGATAGAAATAAAAATAAAAAAATAAAAAAGAAATATGCACATTTTGATATCATATATTTAGCATATTAAACAAAAATAAATATGACAAGTAAGAAGCACTTTTAATAACAATGGAAAGGGAATACAAACTTTAAATCCACCAGCACACAATGCTTTGATTAATTATCTTTGTTTCATAGGATTTCTTAAGGATACTAAAACTACTATTGTTATCTAAAATTTTCATGTGCAATGCATGTATACATCCATTAGAACTATTAAAAGTGAAATAGGGTCTAGACTTTGTGATGGGATCTGCTCCTCACAAATGGCCGCCTCACATGCACATTCACCATGCATTGGGAACATCTCCCGTGAATAATAACTAATAAGTACGGAAGATGTTCCCAATGCATGATAGGATGTGCATGTGAGGCGCTTGTGAGGCGCCAGGTGTGAGGAGCAAATCCGCTCTCCTAGACTTTGGCCCTTTCTTGATTAAAATACCCTTAGTTTTAAATTTGATCATTCTTCATTATGAAGGTAGAAATGTAATTTGATCTATTACTTTTAAGTTCTTATTTTCCCTCTCATTAAGTTTTATATTTAAGGTATTAACTCCCATTCTCTCTCATTAAATCCTATATAAATGAACTTATGTGGACTTTTTAATGACTAAAAGGCCCCTCCTTTTGAATTTGATCCCTCTCTAACTACGAGAGTAGAAAATGTAATTTGAACAACTACTTATCACCCCGTTCAATTTCTTCACAATAAGTCCAATATTTAAGTCATTAACTCCTACTCAAGGATTAATGTATCAGTATCAGGTATCGTATCAGACAAGTTGGATACTGATACGCTTTGTAACCATATGGATATAGACGAAAAATATGAAAATGCGTAGATGCGCTAGAAAAATACATACAAATTTCGTAAATACAATAATATCATTAAATTTAATATCAAAATAATCACAAATAGTATTAAATACATTAGAAATGTATATTTTAGTGATATATATGAAAAATATATTGTAATTAATATATTATGATGCATAAAATATCATATAATTTTATTTATAATGCATCAATCAAGGGTCTAAGGCACTAAACATATGCACATATTATGTTTCAATTATTATATAAATTATTTTTATTTTACTTTTTTTAATTTTTAACATTACCAAAAAGTCAACTAAATATTGAATTCTAAAATACAAATTAAAATACTAATTAATAATTTATTAAAATCTAATCGTAACTTAAAGTATATCAAAGTTGTTAAAATTTATAATATACATATCATATAAAAATTCATAATTTTTAATTACTCAAATAATTACTCCTTTATTAATATTTTATTTATATAATTTTTCTAATATGAAAAATAATTTTTTGAAATAAATGTAGATTAATGGATTTGATAAATTCAATTTAATGTTATATTCTTAAATATTTTATAAACAATATTTTTATTTTTTATAAATAATAAATATGTTGGTATTACTTATTAATATATATTAAAATATTAATTAATAATTTATTAAAATATATAAAAATTTTTATATGCATATCATTTGCAAATTCATAAATTTTAAGTATTAAAATAATTATTCTATTCTTAATATTTTATTTGTATAATTTTCTTGATATTAAAAATCATCTTTTTATATAAACATGGATTTGATAGATTATTATTGTATTAGTTTATAAAATACAATTTTTGAGTATTATTCTTTTAAAATTTTAGTTAGGGTTGTTAAATATAAACATGTAGTTTTTGTTTAAATCACATATATAGACAAAAGTTAATAAATTTTATTTTATTAAATTTATTATCACAAGATTATACATGGTTTAGTGGCTTAGAATCACATTTAAGGTGCAAGACTTTGGGCGTGTTATGGTGATCCGAGTTTGAATCACTTTGCCTGCAGTTTTTTATAAAGAAACAATGTGTGTCGATGCATAGCGGCCTGATACACATCTGTACCGGTACATATGACAAGTGTATCCCCATATATACACCCCATGTCGATATTTAAATCCTTGCTCCTACTTTCTTCCATTAAAGTTCTATATTTAAGGTATTTTTATTTCTCACCAATAAATTCTATTAAGTTAATTTATGTCCAATAATTTTAACAATACAAAGCCTTTATTTTAAAATTGACCTGAAAATGAAACCATCCATCTAAGTGGCAAATAAGTAGTTTAACCATCTTGTCCAAGTGGGTTAACCCATAATGTCATAATTAAATAATAAAAGTTATAAATAAACAAAAATATTAATATACAAAAAAAGTACATCCTAATGTTATATATTTATCATATTAAACAAAAAATATATTAAAAAGGAAAATAAAATACAAAATTCAAATCAACTATCAAACCATGCTTTGCTACTTATCTTTGTTTCATGGGTTCTGATAAAGATACTAAATTGTCGCTGCAGTGCATTCACACATTTACTAATACATATACAAGCATACATATACGTATGCATTCATACAAATATACAAAATATATAACTTTTCTATTTAATGGTTCAAATTATTTGTGCTAAAAAGGTTTAGGGATCTTTTCTAGATAAATTGGACCTAAGAAGCCCACCTAAGCCTGATTGACCAATCCAATTCCAAGCCCAACTCGAGTGGGTGAAATTTTAATTCAGGTTGGGCTTGGATTGGTTAATCAGGCTTGACCTTGGGTTTGGGCCTTAGGCCCAAGTCTTTCCGTTGGGCAGTTGGCCTTAAATCTGGCCTAATCCACCCAAGTTGCACCTTTATCTGCAATTTTTTATATGTCACAATTTCCCTTT